AATAAAAATAAACAGTCACTTAAAATAACTTTATTTCTATTGTACTAAGCGACTATTTATTTTTTCGTCACTTATAACAATAAAAGCCCCCCAGTGGCACAGCGGTATGTCTGCGGACTTATACTGCTAGAAACTGGGTTTCGATACCCGTGGTGGGCAGAGCATAGATAGCCCTTTGTGTAGCTTCTGTGCTTAATCACAAACAACAACATAACAATGAAAATAATAGTCGCTCAGTACAATAAAAATAAACAGTTACTTAGAACAATAAAATAAATCGTCACTTATAACAATAAATATAAGCCGTCACGTTAGTGACTTATAACAATAAAAGCCCCCCAATGGCACAGCGGTATGTCTGCGGACTTACAACGCTAGAATCCGGGTTTCGATACCCGTGGTGGGCAGAGCACAGATAGCCCATTGTGTAGTTTTTGTGCTTAATTACAAACAATAAAGTCACTTTTATAGTAGTATTTAGAATGTGACTCATGTTTCATAACACTTTTATGAAGAAACTTTAAGAAAAAAATGTATCACGTAATTGCAATATTTCTCAGTACTCTTACTAATTGGTAAAAAAACAACAACCATAAAAGTGTGGTTATTTGAAACATGTTAGTGTATTTATTCTGACAATAGACATATTTCCTGCTTGCACTCGATACGCCTTCCAACTTATGACAACAGGATCGCTGTTTCAATGATGTTTGCAGTTGTCTCAAAATTCTGGATATTTTTGTAAGCTATATTTCTGATGTGGTAAGCTGTTCTCTAGAGGTAGCTGCGGGTCTTATTGATGACGTTAAGATCAATAAGTTTAATAAGGTGATATAAAATGTTCTAGCAAATTCGAAGCTAGATTATAAATTCAAGATAGTCGTGAAGTACGAAGGGTTTTTATTTCAGAATACACAGTTGAACCAGTCAATATGTTAGCTCTAGCGGTTACTTTGTACAGGAACGTTGATTCGTTTTACGTTAAGTTAACGTCATTTCTAACGTAGGCCTAAAGCAAATTTACAGCAGTGTAGAAGTGTTAAAGTTTGTAGAAACGTCAAAGAAGGAAATGAAGTAATTTATTATCGATACATGGCCTGGAAGTTGAATTAAATAAAATATAAGAATTGCGTTATAACAATATGAATGCTTAAATAAAGTATAAACTGGACACCTCTTTAGCGTGATATATATATGTAGTATGTTTTTAAAACTTACATCTTCAGCTGTGAACAAATCCGTTCCTATGATGATGCCTCAATGCTCTATTTGGAAACGTTCCGAAACAGAAGAACCTGTTTTACATGACAAATTGTTACTGGTATTTTTTCTTTATGAGGTTCCATAAAAATTAGACTTAATCGCCATCATTCTTCAAATTACCGAGCTCCAATTATCCAATTATTCTTCGATTGAAAGAGTAATTAAGCCTAAACTCTGATGGCCTTGCCGACCAGGTGAACAATTAAATTGCTGCACATTAGCTGCCGTCAACATTATCCTAGAATTCATGTTTGGTACTAAGCTCCATGTAAGGAGATTTTTAAATCTCACCATTAATTATTTTTCTTTTTTGCACATTAATGTTACAAAAAAAAATCGAGGATTTTTACAAATGTTTTTATTAAGTATTTACAGTTATAAAAATAAACTTACAATCCAATAACTTTGATGGTCAATATTGAAGTAGATAATTTCTTCGAGATTTCAAAGACTTTTAGTAACACGTTTGAAGTTTTGTAGGGCTATATTTACAAACCGCCAAATCGCTGAGCTAGCTATAACGTGTAGCGTTTTAGTAGTGTCTCATTTCAGCTGAACTAAACATATAATTGCTCTTCTCGTGCAAATATTTTAGCAATACTTCGGTTATTATTTTTGTAATTTCGTCAATAATTATTTACCAGCCATAACATAGTGTTCTAAGCTATATTTTCAATGTTATAACGTAGTTGTTTGCTAGAAGAAACCACAAACTATGACGATACAACAGTCGAGAACCTTCATTTAATACCTAAAGCTGAGGGTAAATTATTTATATATACGAGTAACCGGTTGGTGTTTTCCTTGTTTGTTGTTAAATGCAAAGCTACACAGTAAGCTATCTGTGGTATCGAACCTCGGCTTTTAGCGTTAGAAGCTTTCAGACTTACCGCTGAACTACTGGAGGCAATCAGTTAGTGAAGGTAATGATAATTTAGTGAAGTATTTAGAACGACAGTTAGTTGAGTGTCAGAAAAGTTACTCAGTGAGAATTTATCACATGTATTTGGTTACTCGGTCGATTAGGTCTGCAGTTTCTGTTACAGCGAAAGTAGGCTATAGAAACATTACAGAATCGTTACGTGTACTGAACACTATTTTCAACAAATCACTGAAAAGAACCGGCCCAACAATAGAACATGTTACAACAATAAACATACGTGTATAGTAATAAAGTCTGCAAAATGGATGAGTTAATTAGGCTTACATTTGTGGATTTTTGACGGCTAAGTATGGTATAATGTAATATAAAGCGATGCTAAAATAATTTGTCGTCTGGGAGCAATTTTTTTTTTCGAGGAGTTTTAACCGATATTAGAATATTCATTGTAGTTAGTCTAGTACTAAACGTGGGATAAAGTAGGTATGTAAGAAAATTTTACTGTTTCATGAAGCGATTCAGAGCCGCTATTTAGTGTGATAATTAATTACTTACCACACAGATTTGTCATTTACAAACTACCTGAAAAGAGAATAAAGATATTCACTAAAGGGTTATATGTACAATCTATTATTATTTTACACGCTTTTCAATTAGTTACTCTCTTAAAATTTCTTTAATCATTAATTTTTCTTTTGTAGACTGGAAGATTATACCCATCATGCAGACAGGAAGACTACTGTAATTGAATGACGTACGTATAAGAAAAGTAACTGTTAGGCCTATAAAATAATATTCGGTAATTAACAGTAAGGAGGATTAATTATTTAATTTCTGTAGTGCATATTGGTGTATATAAGACATATCAATACGAGAAATAAATTTCCGTTTCTGTTTGCTTTTTTAGTGAACGCTCCTGAAGATGCTGTGATGGGAAAACCTGGGTGTTTAATTAAATAAAAACATTTTGATGTTATAAGGTCGTTTATTTCCAGAAAGGAGGATTACCTGTAAAATAACATTCGGTGATTTACGGAAAAGTGGACTAACTATTAGGCCTATAAAATAATATTCGGTAATTTACAGACAGAAGGACTAGCCGTTAGGCCTATAAAATAATTTTCGGTAACTTACAGACAGAAGGACTAACCGTTAGGCCTATAAAATAATATTTGGTGATTTACATACAGAAGGACTAATCGTTAGGCCTATAAAATAATATTTGGTGATTTACAGACAGGACTAATCGTC